TCATCGACAGATGAACGAAGTAGACATGCATGAAGTATTAGATGACGCAAACGGTAAGACGTCGAATGCAGAGTCTAGCTATGAAGAAGAAGAAGGGGGCCCCTGGGTCCAGTTCTTAGTCGTCTCTGTAGGTTTACTGTAACTACCTCGTCGGTTTTGATTGTTGTAATTCGTCGTATTCTTCTTCTTGTTCTTGCTAGCGTACGTGTTCGGATTCGAGTTCTGCGTTCTCGGATTCCTATCATCAGGTCGTTTGCGCGAACTTAGATTGTAGATGTTTATGGGTTTTAGTATCGCACCTGACTCAATCCGACGCATCGTCCCCTCTTTCCCGTACACTACACAGCTCAAAAGTACATTGACCGATAGGTCATGCGATAATAGGCCTTGATCGATAAGTTGATTCACACGAATTATCAGCTTGTCCGTGTTGTCAATCTCGGGATCAACTAGGGCCTTATGCAGGATCTTATTCCTGGTCTCGAATGCCTTTTCTGGTGACATTCGTACACCTCGCAACTGGTTCAGCATATGAGCCGGATCCCCCATTAAGTAGTCAATGTTCGCCCACCCGTCAGTCGTAATCGTATGTCGTTTACCATGCACTCTCGGTGTCGAGCTATGGTCACTATAGTAGACTTCTTCCATCATCGGTGCATGTTGGCCCACCGAAGTCAGGTCTAACGTAGGTGGTCGATTCGCAGGTGGATTATTCGTCGTGGTCTGGGTAGCCGTCTTTGGCTGTCCCGCCTCCTGAATCTTCCTATGGGTGAATGCTGGCTTCTCAGCCTCTATGCGGGCCGCGAGTACCTCTTGCAGATCTTTCATGTACTTCGGTTGCATAAGTAACTGGTTGTAATTGATTAACCTCTCAATGTCCAATGCTGTGCAAACTTGTCCCCATATCTTCGGGGGTACCGCCTGTATTCGCGTGATGTCCATGTTACCGGACTTGTTGGCCTCTAGTATAATATTGGTGGCCTCCTTCTGCAGGTCCACCGTACTACGAGTCTCAACCATTGTGCAAGTTTGTACAGTTCAATTCAAAGTTCAAGTGAAGAAATACTTTTCGAAGAAAAATTATGATGTTGAATAAATAAAAACTCTTTCAAGTGAGGAGACGGTGTCTCCTCGAATAAAAATCGGCCGGGTTCTGGCCTCCTGGAATGTGCTGGTAGGTTGCCTTGTACAAGGCTCGGATGCGCGCTGCGTATACCTCTAAGTCGTTTCTTGGTTCTTCATTTCTCTCGAGGGCCTGCCATAGGCGCATATTATCTGTCACGATAATCTTGCTCGCCCTCTTATCAATGAAGTCAATCGCCGACTTGTATTTGGCTAGCAGCTTGTATGCTCCTTGGATTTCCTTGTACGAAGCCAAGTTCGTTAACGTCTTGGTTAGCGGAATCGATTCCGTCATAACCGTTTGTTCGTTATACTTTACCACCATCCCTGCTTGTGTATCTGACGCGTCGACGTATATTGAAATCGTATTTCCTTCTGTTGGTCGTATCCGTTCGATCGTCCAACTGGAATCGACTGCGTCTATCAAATCTTTCACTACGTTCTTTACGTGCTTTGTCTTCTGCAATATTTGTCGAATCTTCGTAAGTGAGTTTCAGATCTAGTCGATCCGTCTTTCTTGGACACGAG